GGGCCGGCCCCGGGCGCGCTTCCCGGGGGCGGGGGGGGGCGGGGGGGGCGCGGCCCCGGCCGAGGCGCCCCGCTCCGCCCGCGTCGTCACTCCCGTGTTTCCCCGCACAGCGTCACCAACGGCTGCGCGCTCTGGAGCGGCGACGTCCCTTCGGAGCAGCTGGACCGATACGTGAGTGCGGGACCGGCGCTGCTCCTCCGGCCGCGGCGCCCCTGGCCACGCTTGGGGAGGGGGGCTCTTTCACGCCGAGCTCACTTGCCTGACTGCCCCTGTACCGCGCCTTAAGAGATGGGGGTGAAGTTCGGGACCCCCAGCCTGCAATTCTCCCCCCCCCCCCCGAGAGCGGCCTGCAGCACGACCCCGAAACTCGCTTGCGCGCTTTCGCCGCATGGACACTTGCTTCCAGCTGAACAGACGAGGACGCGGCGCAGAGGAAGGTTTCCGGCCGTGTGCCTTCTGGGCCTCGCCATGCGTGAGCTGCATGAGCGAGCCCCTCTCGAGACCCCAAGAGGGAACGTCACGGCTGCGATGGGGCAGAAGCCAAAACATTTGCTGCAGTGTGAGGCTCTTTCCCAGAAACGTTTCAGCTGCTTGTGCTGACCGGCCTTTGCCTCTCTCTCCCACCAGTTCTCTCCGAGCGAGGTGGCAACTCCGGATGAGGACGACGGCGCTTCTAAGCTCCGGTGGGCCTTCCTTCCTCTTGGCACACTTCCCCCTCCCTCCTCGCCAGGCCTTGATGTGGGTCCAGCGTCAGCCTCTCGGGTCCTCCAGAGGCTTCTTGGCTGTGCAGAGAGAGGCCTGGCCGTCCTGCCTGCCAGTTCCACACCCCCCTTTTTTAAGGACCTGTCCATGGGGCAGCGGTGTGCGCAAGGGGCTGCCCCCCGCCCTTGGCCTCACCGCCCCGTCGCGTCCACAGGGAACTTCTGGGCTGCCAGATGCCCACAATGACTGTCTGCGACAGCAAAGCCACCCTGCAGTTCCGGGACGGCCAGCAGAGCTTGTCAGTTGATCTGCACAAGGCGCCGCTCTCCGAAGCGAGGAAGCAGCTGCAGGCGCTGGTGTTTGGCCTGGTGGCCCAGGTGCACGCGCTGCAGAAGCGCCTGGAAGGTTCCGCTTACGTTTCCCTTCTCTGCTCGTCGGTGGGCTGTGAGGCAGGGGGAAGGGGCTGGGAAGGGGCCGTGTCCGGACTGGAGCTGCTGGCGTTGCAACTTGCTCGCTGGGGGCACTGCCCAATTCCCAGGCCGGACCAAAAGTTTGCTGGAACTGGTGCGGACAGAATAGACCTGGGGGTTTCCTCCCTCTGCAGAGTACGCGGACGCGGCTCCACCGCCCCTCAGTAGCCCTGAGAAGAACCCCGTGTGGAGCCAGAGCCTCTTCGCGCCAGGTAAGAGGCGGCACCCCAGCCGAGCAGCATTTCTGGGCGCTGTTTGACTCTCAGTGGGAAAAGCCAGCCCCTCCCATTTCACTGTGCTGGGGCCCGGAGCACTCAAAAAAGAACCGCATCAGGCAAAGCTGGAGATGTGCCAGCTGCACTGCCCTTCAAAATACGCAAGTTATCTGTCGAGAAAGGCCTCGTTCTGGAGTCTGGTTGGCCTCAGGGGGCAGGTCTCTTGTCAAAGTAAATAGCCGAGCGAGGAAGTGAACTCCAAGCAGAGCGAGGGCAAGCAGCAGCCCTGGGATCTGCGTTCTGGAAAACAGTGCCGATGCCGCCTCCCAGCCGCCCTGCCCTGCCCTGCCCTGCCCTGCCCAGCCCGGCCCCCAGGAGATGGGAGGGCGAGGGGCAGAAACCCCACTTTGGCCCTCTCTCTCCCGCTGGCAGCCGTGAGCTCCCTGAAGTACCCGGGTGGAGCCAGAGGCAGCCAGACAGCGGCCAAGAGGCGGCTGCCTGGGGAATCGCTCATCAACCCGGGATTCAAAAGGTAACTCGGGCCGGCAGCAGGCCTCATGGGCCGCCCGCGTCCCCCTGCGTGTGCTGAGCCCGTGTGCAGGGCCCGCTCCTGCAGCTCGTGTGTGTGGAACGCCTGGGGTGCAGCGGGCAGAGAACGGGGGGCGCGAATGGAAGAGCTGCGGGAGCCCCGACCTCCCCCTCCCCAGCCTCCCACGGAGCCGCTGCTCTGCTGCCAAGCATCCCGCACCCCGGCGGGGCTCGCGGGGGGTGAGGTGCTGGCTGAGCCAGGCTTGAGGGGGGGCTGCAGCTTGCTTGCTTCTGCCCAAGTTTTGGGATCTGGGTTTATCACCCCCCCCCCGCCGTGGCCTGTGGGTGCCCCTCCTGGCCTCCGTTCCGTGGCTCCTGCGACGCCTCACAGCGGGTGCTTGGAGCGTGGGGAAGGGGCTGTGTGCTAACCGGGCTGTTTCACGTTGCTCTAGCAAGAAGCCACCGACGGGGGTAGATTTCGAGGATCCCTGAACGCACCTGGCAGTCTCCAACCTGAACCGCCCAGAGCTGCATCCCGGCTATTTTAACTAGTCCTTTCAAAGCGTGTTTTAGATTTTTTAGTCGAAGGTGGCGCCAGCGGCCCTGGCTGGCGCTTCCAGGCCGTGGTCTTGCACAGACGTAGCAGAGAGGGTGACCCCACGAGGAGGAGCGAGCAGAGGATGCCCCAGGAGGGCCTTCTGCCCGCAGCCTTGTGGGCAGCTTCTGTGCCCCATGCCCCACGCAGACCTTCCCTTTAAATGAAATGTGCCTGTAGCAATAAAATTGATTTTCTCTCCTCTCCATCTGTGTGGTGTCTTGGCCAGATGCTGGACTGCTCTGCCGTGCCCCAAATGAGGCGCACTGGCTTCATGTGAGCCCCCGCACGGTCTCTCTCTTCCCCCCGGCAAGCCCAAGCCCTCGGTGTCTCCCCTCTGGCGTGTGCCGCGCTCTCTGCACGGTTACGCACAAGCCCTGGAAAAGGAGGCGAGCTGTCGCCTGGATTCAGGGCAGACACACAAAAGGACAGACACCCACGTGCAGCTTAGCTGTGAAACCGCCAGGGCCGGGCCCGGGCCTTGCAAACAGAGCTGGAGACGGGATCCTGGGCCTGCAGGGCGCCAGTTTTTCCATCAGGCCTTTTTTCCTCCTGCCCAGTCGCGTTTCCTCTTCTGTCGTGTCTTCAGAGTACAAGACGGGCAGTCCCGTCCACTGGTCCTTTGCACAAATCCTGCCAGAACTGGATGGGCTTTGGCTTCCAAGCAGCACAAGTAGTACAATTTATGCACCTTTCCTTAGCATTTTTAAAAATGTGCAGCATACGGGCCATCTTGGGGAACCCTCAGGCGCTGGAGAGCAGCAGTCGAACAAACAGGAATCTGGGGCTGAATCGTGACCACAACCAGCTTGACCACAACTGGCCCCCATTTGCTTCCTTGCAAGTCCAGCCGGTGAGTCGGTCTCTCGCACACCGGTTTCACGTGTATTCCCACATGTTGATAAATCCAACGTAATAAAGCCACAGGCGTCCTGTTTTTCTTTTTATGGGTTTGTGTTGTGAAAATGTATAATAAAAATCCGTATAATAACAAGTTAGCCGCAGACACTGTTCTGTTCCTAATGCATCACAACATAAGTTTTCAACTTGATTGGTTATGCTACTTGACATTGGGGTGAGGGCGGGACACCCCGAGCGCCTCAGAAGAGGAAGCAGCCTCCCCTGCCATGCACCCCTGGCCCCTGGAGCCCGGCCAGCCAGGAGAAAGCAGGGGCTCCATGCGGACCTCCGGCGCCCCAACAGCCCGACCGAGCCCTTTGCCGTGTGGCTGTCCGTGAGCCCGAGTCCAAGAGCCCCCCGACGGGCCCTTGCTGGGCGCGGGGGGGCGCAGGCGGGAGGGGATGATGGGGATCCTGCACCCCGTCGGGCCATGCTGCCTGCGGGCGCCGCGTCCTCTGCCTGCCCAGCTGGCTGCAGCCGGGGGCTCTGGGGAGGCAAGGCAGTGGCCCCACGGGGCCGGGCCAGTCCGGCACTCGGTGGCCCGGGGCATTCCATCCACGGCCGTCCGTCCCTGCTCCTCCGCAGGTGCGACGCTCCCGAGATGCGAGCAGGTCTCGGAGGAGCACGGCGGGGCCCCTACCCTCACAGCCCGCTCCCCTGCTCGTGGCCCGGCGGGTGAGAAGGGGGCAGAGAGGGGAGGGGTGCCGGGCCGGCTGCCAGCTGCCCCCTCCGGCCCCCTCGAGCCCCGGGCTACTTGAGGGGCCGGACCACCGCGCGGTAGGCCTGAACGATCTCCTCGCTGTTGGGGCAGGTGTACTTGAACTCCTTCGCCTCGGCGGCGCTGGCCAGGTAGCGCCACACGCCCTGCAGCTCCGGTGGGATGCCCGCCCGCCGATAGTGCTGGCACACGACCTGCAGGGGGAGGGCGAGAGCAGAGGGCAGGGGGGGCTTGGCTTTCGCTTGCAAGGAATGAGCAGGGTGCCCTTCGGTTGCGGAGCTTTGTCCTGCAGGCAAGCCTGAGGCCTTGCGGAAAGGGCCGTGTGGGAGAAACACCTTGCCGGCCGCGATCCCCAGAAGAAGCTACTTGTGGGAAGACGGCTGCTTCCGCTCCTCCGTTCGCCTGCTTATTGGAAGCGTGACCTCATGCAGGAGCCTGGAGGCTGGCCACCCCGGCCCAAGCTTCACCCTCCAGCGGCTGTGGATATGAACCCACAGGGGCTAGAAACTTGATTCTCAAAGCAAAATGTACGAACAAACACGAAGGAGGAGGGGCTTTGGTGGCAGGATTCTGTAATAAATGCCGAATCTTCTCATGCCCACCGAACTGTGAACAGCAAGACGCCCTGGAGGCAGCAGGTGGAGAGGGGCCCGGGGAGGGGGAGGGAGCAGGGAAGGCGCCTGCCTGCCTGCAGTTTTTATGCCTAGCAGGATGCAGCGAACGGGGAGGGGGCTGCTGATGGGAGAGGCCCGAGGACACCTGGGCTGCGAAAGAAAGTGGCAGGGAGCGCATGGTCCACGCTGAGGATGCCGGGCTGGGGGAAGGGGCTGGGGCCCCGGCTAGGGCAAGGCTGGCTGGCTGGTCGGGCTGGCTGAGCTCCCCCGGCCCTTCAGAATCCCCCCGCCCCCCGTGGCCGCCGCCTGGCCGAGGCGCAACTCACGTTCACGATGTTGAGCTTGGGCAGGAGGCCGCAGTCGGCAAGGGTCAGCTGGTCGCCATCCAGGAAGCGCCGCCGCGAGACGGCCAGGTGGGGGTCCCGCGCCAGCTCATAGTCCAGGGGGGTGTTCAGGTAGTGGTCTAGCTTCAGGAGGGCCTTGAAGAGATGCCGCTGCAGGACTGCAAGGGAAACGCCGAACAGGCTGCTCTCTTGCGGCCGAGAACATCCTCCTGCGACGCTCGACTGGCGCCATCCCGACGCCTGTGCCACAGATCCCCCAGCCGGGCAGCTGCCGGCCAGAGCTGGAAAGCCGTCCTGGTGCCTTTCCTGATGACGCAGAGGGTCCTTGCAAGCGGGACGCAAGCCCCCGAGCTGCAAGTTCCGACTTACGTTTGCACCGCCGGAGCGCACATCGCCCCACGAAGGTACCGAACCTTTGGGGAGCCGTGCAGCACAGAAGCATAGAAGCTGAGCGAGTCGGAAGGAGCCTCCCAGGTCATCCAGTCTGACCCCCAGCTCCAGCTGGCTCCTCTCATGACATGCCCACCATGCGCGTGTCCAGCCTGTCCTTGAACACCCTCGCCGTGGGGCCTTCCGCCACCTCCAAGGGAAGCCCATTCCACACCCTGGGGGTCCTAACTGTCAGGAAGGCCTTCCTGGCACCCGAAGGTGAAATCAAAACTTGCAAAGCTCAGACACGGCAGACATTTTGGGCTTCGGTGCCCATCAGCTCCGCCAGCACCACCGATGGCCAGGACGGCCGGGGGCCACCACCCAGCTCCCCTCTGGGCACGTGATCGATCTAGACTGTGCGCGTTTTCCCAGCTCCTGGGCCAAGCGCGGTGCTCCCCGCACACTGTACCTTCATCCTGAGCAGGCACTGGGTTCTTGATGTAGGCGGAGAAGCGGTGGAACACGTCGTTCCCCGCCAGGCTGGACTCCTTGTATCTGGGGACCAGGCTCGGGAAACTGCGGGACGGACAGAGAGACGCCGGTGAGCGGCAGCCACGGGGCTGTCCCTCCGCACAGGCAGGCAGGAGAAACACGACAGGCGCTTTATTCCCTCATCTGAGCAGGCAAAGGGTTTTGCCCTGAAAGAGGATCCGGGGGCGAGGAGAGGAAGGCCCCCTCAGCACTGCCTGGGGATCTTTCTGCAAAATGGGCGCAATGAGGCCGACCTCTCACAAGCAGAATCCTGGCTGCGATTCCCCACCCCTTGCCTTTTCCTGGCTGCCTTTCAGCTCTGCACCAAGTACCAAAGACCCTCTGGATACAGGCTGCTGGACATGCCTCAATTCCCACCTTTCTTTTTGCACAAGCAGGGGTGTGAATTTCCTTAAAATTGAGCACCAAGTGTGCTTGTGTCTGCACAGCACCTCTGCACACGCTTTCCAGCACAGTTTTGCCCCCACGGAGACCGCCGGGTGCTCACTTGGGCGGGCCCAGCGTCTCCTCCAGGAACTCCTCGATCGCGGTGGTGTCGGTCTTGGGCTCCCCGTCGAACAGCAGCACCGGCAGCTGCGCTCCCGGGGCAAAATCCTTCAGCACATCCAGGGACCTGCAAAGGCACAGGACGAAGGGCTGTCAGATCCCGCCTTCTCTTTCCCGGCTCTCCGGCGCCAACAGCATGGCTGCTCCGCCCCAGAGAAAGCCACCTGCCGGCAGCCTTGAACGCAGCTGCGTCGCGGTCCCCTTCGCACGGCTCTGGTCCCTCATGTGCCCGGGACTGCCGACCCCGTGACGGGCCTCACCTCTTGGTATCCACCGTGGTCAGAGTGAAGGGGACTCCTTTGAGGAGCAGGATCATGAAGAGTCGCTGGCAGAAGGGGCAGTGCCCGATGGTCTCGCCATCGCCGCTTGCCTGGGGAGGGGAGAGGGGCTGTAAGAGGGGCCTGAGGCAGCATCCTGGGCCGGAAGGCCAGCAGTCCGGAAGCAGCTGGCTCCTCTCCCCAGGGAGCCCTAGGAAGTGCCGCTCAGGGGCCAGGGGACGCCGGCAGCATCCCAATCACCCTTAGCAGACCTCCCGGCATCCTTTGCGGGGAGGAACAGCCCGGAGAGCTGAGCAGCTGTCGAGCCCAGAAGTGCTGGCAATGCTGGCGCGGCGAGGGTGGGCTGCTGGAGACCCCCCGGAAGGGCTGGGCAACAGCTCCCAGGCGCCCTGAGCAGCGAGTCACCGGTGAGGCATCAGGGGAGTCGGAGGCCTAACATCCAGCGGCTGCATTCTCTTTGAAATCGGTCCTACCTCTGCAAAATGCTTCCAGAGTCTTATTCTGTCTTACGCCAAGCTGGAGGCTCTCTCTTTTTTGACAGAGCAAATACAGAGGTCAACTCAGAGCTCGCTTTGGTGTTGCAGGGGGTTTCCCGGAAGGTGAGCTGGCTGGGGGCTTCTCTGGTTCCCACGACTGTTTCTCGCTGCTTTCCAGAGGAGCGCATCCTGAGCCCCTGCAGCGGCGCACCTGCGCACCGTTTGGCACACTGACGGCGGCCCCCTTGGACCCCGAGCGGCTGCCCGGCGGTGAGGCGTTGTGCAGCGCCACGGGAGCCAGGCAGGAATGCGGCGCTCCGGCGTTCCATGCGCGGGCGGGGTGCACTCACGCAGCCGGGGTGCCGGCCGCAGCCCGAGGCTTGGCGGGGCGCCATGTGAGCGAAACCCGAGTGGGCGCGGCGCCTGTGCTCACACATCAGAGCGCAGCGGAGGGTGCGGGAGGCTCGCTCGGGAGGCCCATGTGCAGGTGTGGGTGCCCGGCTGCAGCTGGTGCGCCCGAGGGCCGGGCTGAGTGCTGCATCTTGCGCCAAACCGAGCCAGAGCTGCCCTTGGCGCACGGGAGGAGGAGGGACTCTCTGCTCAAACACACAGAAACACACAGGAGGACACAGAAAACCAGGACTCGCCTCCGGGCCATCTCTGATGCAGGGCTGCCTTACCTGAGCCAGCCGGGGCTGATGGGCATTGTAATCCTTTCAAACGCACTCAGTGGCTTTCGCTGGGGCCTTACCTTGCGGGGATGTTGGTAGGAATTTAGCGGGTTCGGGGGCCCAGGCTGGACAAGGACCCTGTTGCAGGTGCTACTTTTATCAAGAGGTGCTGGGTTAGGAATAATTATGTCTCTCAGTATCATAGGAGGCCTTGCCCAGCTGCGTCCCACCTCCACCCGAAAATGACACTCGGAACAGCGAATGACAACAAGAACAAGATGAAAACAAAGCTCAGTTAAAACAGCTGGAAGAACGAATAAATTAAAAGCGCAATTCAGAAAACACAGCGATGAAAGAATCAAGCAGCCGGCCAACCCAGTCATGAAAGGAAAGATGAAAGCCCGCTTCAGAGGGATGCCACCCAACGGATCGCGTCCCCGCAGCTCGGACGGAACGGAAGGGGCCGGGCTGCTCTCCCCTTTCTGCCACCCTTTCCGGGTTCTTCGGAGCAAGTGCATCATCATGGATCTTTTAGGACCGATTCAGGACCTTGCCTGGGGGGGGGGGGGCTTGTATGTGGCCCAGAAGTCCCACTGCCGAATGTGCCTGGCACGACGGGGGGGGGGGCTCGGACCGGGAGCAGCTTGCTGGACAAAGCCCTGCCTGGCACGCCCTGCGCCCCCCAGGCCACCCCCAGCCCCAGCTCTCACCTTGACGAACAGCTGGAGCTTGGAGATTTCCGCCATCCGTGCTCAGGCTCAGGCAGACACGGGCAGATCCCCGCCACTCTTCCTCCGCCTGTTTTATAGTCGCACACACCCTTCCCAGAGCTTCACCTGCAGCATTCCTGCCCTCTCCGCCCCGTCTCGGCAGCCACCCTCCCCGGGGAGCTCCCTCTGCGGAAGAGTGCTGTGTGACCTGGCAGGCAGCGGCCGCCCTGCTCGGAAAAGAGGCGCGCATCCCTGCTGGCGTCGCCATAAACATTCCCACTCGCGGAGCGAAAACGCCGGTCCCACGGCACTGGCTTGGCAGCCGCAGCCGCCAGACGGAAGTGTGAGGAAAACGGGGACAGGGGCCCGAGTTGACTCAGGAACTTGGCAAGAACAGTGTGCAGAAATTGTCGGCGTTACGCTCCTGAAGACGCACGAGCATAATCGAACATACACATTAAAAGACGTGCTTGGCGAGGCCTCTTTCACTCCCTGCTGGAAGGAGCAGTCATGAAGGTCCACAACAGACAGAAAAGCTGAGATCAAAAGACACAATACCCCCACCACCAAAAAAACACCCACTCCGACTTCCCCTTTCAACTTTAGCTATGGGGTGCTACAGAAAGGAGTGAATGCTTATTAGAGAAGTTTGAAAACGGGACATTTCTGGATGAATCGCTTGCAACAGCCCTCTTTGCTCGCAGTTCCAGGCCAAGCGGGAGAGCTTGGCCAACCCAACTCCGGAGAGGCCGGGCCAGGGCACCGCCGCTCTTCCCGCGCAGAAATGCGCTTTCACCCAGCCCTCTTGGGCTCCCACTGCCGACCGAGCGGGCGAGTCCCACAGCTCCGGGAATGCGAACATGACATCTCTTTGCAGGCCTGCAAGTCAGCCAACCGACCTTTGAAAGCCCGGCATCAAAAAGCACAGCCGCTCAAAATCCTCTGCGCGCCCGACGCTCACCAGAAATTCTCCACCAGGAACATCCACCCTTCAAAGCAACCGCCAGGCACGGTTCGGTTATGATGTTTTTATTAAAACAGTAATTATTTTCACATTTTATCTGTCTGCTTTCCATGTTGCTTCTTCTGCTAGCAATGTACAGGTCCCTGTCAGGTCCCGCCGATGGCCGCTGTGCCCACACAAAATGACACGGCCAGGAGGGCGCCGGCTCGCTCGAAAAGCTGATCCACACATTGGGAATTTGGGGGCGGCTTTAAGGGGAAGAAAGCCTGGAGTGCCAAGGCAGGACTCCTCGCTCGTTCGCATGCAGACCTTCGGGGCGCATCCCCAGGAGGGCCGAGGGCAAATCGCAACCTGCGTAAGCGGCAGCACCTGAGCTGTCCAGGTGAGCGTCGATTTGGGGTCCCTCCTGCACAAGACCCGCCTCTGTGCATGCATTTGGCCTTTCCCTCATGTTTCTCTCTCACGCCTTGGGTCGACCAAGGTTGTCCATACCCTGATCGTAGGCACACATACAATCACGCACGCACACTCACACCCCTACACAAAATAAATAAGAACATTGTGCTTGCTAAATGGTGAAGATAAATAAAACGTATGCCCCAAATCCTCAGACTAGAGTTCGTAACAAACGTGTCTTGCGGCTCTCCCAACACTCAATTTGGCCGAGTTTATAAAGCGTGTGGGAAGAGTCCTCTGTTGGCACTTCGCCTGCCTAGTCTGACTGGCGGTCCCGGGCAGAGAAAGCCGGGGGGGGGGGTCCTTCCCCATCACTTGAACCTTTTAGCTCGTGATTCTGCAGGTGAACCAGGACCCTCTGCATGCACAGACTGCCGTTCCACCGGCTGCTGGGCCCAGAACCGCCCTACCCAGATGGCCAGGCGCTTGCGCCCCCTTCCCGGAATTCCCTAGTCTGACGGGTGCTGCTCATCAGTTTCGGGTGGGGGTCATTCCTCACACCTCTTGCCTCTTCTCTGAAGCAAAGCGGTCAAGGACTGAACCGGGACTCTCCTGCGTGCGAGGCGTGGGCTGTCCCTTCGCCCTTCTCCCTCCGCAAGTCCCTCAAAGGCTGCCACAAAGAGGAAGGCCAAGAGCTCTTCCTGCGGACGCCGGAGTGCAGGACATGGAATAGTCCATTCAAGCTGCCACAGCCCAGAGTCAGGCTAGACATCAGGAGACGCTCCCTCACCGTCGGAGCAGCACGACCGTGGGACCGGCTGCCTGGAGAGGTGGGGGGCTCCCCCACACTGGAGGAGGCATTCAAGAAGGAACTGGACAGCCTATGAGTGGGATGGCGGAACGTGGCGTCCTGCAATGGCAGGGGGTGGGCTAGATGGCCTTCATGGACCCCTCCGACTCGACTATTCTATGACTCTATGAACTCTGGGCCCTGGGGCAGAGACACCGTTGCCCCTCCAATGGCAGCCAGAAACATGCTTCACCCAAGCTATCGGGGACGCGCAAGCCCTATAAATTGGGGCTTGCGTTGCCCCCGTGATGTGCGTATCTGGGTTTTCTTCTAGGCAAATTCCCTCCGCACGCGGCCTTTCTGCTGCGTCCTTGGATCGGGAGCGCCCGATCGGTTCCCTCACACGAGATGCCGCTACTCTGCCCTCCCAGTGGAGGCTGCTCACAAACAGAGATGCAACGGGGAACCTCCTCCATGGACCGGCTCGGAGGAGCTTGGCTCTACAGAAGCCGTCGGGATCTTTGCAAAGCGAAGCACCGGCTGCCGCATGCCGACTGACCCCCTGTGGCGCCCTGCTGGGGACACCCATTCACCTTCGAGGGCAGGTAAAGCCCAGGACAGGTTGCGACTGAGCCGTCCTTCACACGCGGCAGATTCCAGCCTCGGCCCAGTCGGCAAGACCGAGGGGCAGGCGGTGGGAAAGACGGCCTGCTTGAGACGCCAGGCGGCTGCCGCCCGTCAGAGCAGGAAAGATTAGTCAGAGCATTCGAAATGGGGCGCCGAAAAGAGAGGGGGGAAGCGAACACGCCAAGCCGGCTGCGAGGCACCCCCTGCGCTGGAGCGGCTGAAAAGGCCAGGAGGACGTGCTGGAAGCCGGAAGGCATCGTGCAGCCGCGGCAAAAGCCCCGAACCAGTGTGCCCCCCCCCCAAGGTTGCCGCAGCTTCAGCCCCACTGTGGGGCAACAACGGCAGGATGCCGTGGCAGAGGGATGGGTCGAGGGGCGACCTGCCAACTGCTTCGTTGGGGACCCCGGCCGGTCGGGGGGCTGCCCCGGCCAGAAGCCAGCCTGCCCCCTCCCATCACGGCTGGGCTTGGCCTGGCCCACCCGGCCGCCCCCCCGGAAATGGGATGAGGGGCAGGGCAGACGAGGTGGCGAGCGGAGCTGGGGGCGCATCCGGGCAGCGGGCAGCGGTGCTGGGGAGCCGGGCAGGGGCGTGCAGATGCTGGTCGCTCAGAGAGCCCTTGGCTGCTTGGGCACAACCCCCTGAAGCACAGGGGGAGCGAGGGGGATATGGGGGGGGCGAGGGGCCCATCGTCCTCCTCGGCGCGCCTGTCCGGCCTTCCCTGCACATTCCTGCTCTTGGAAGGCCCCACAGAGGGTGCATTTTCAGTGCTCTCAGCCGTGAGGACTAGTAGCATTAGCGATTGGGTTTTTAAAAGAAGAATGCTAGTGATCAGAATAAGAATAGGGAGGAGCAGCGGTTAGCGTTTCTTGATCGGCTGGTTTTAGACATAGCAGAAAAACCGGGGTGGCGTAGAGGAAGCAGGCGGCGAACCGACACGCGCCCCCCCACGCCCTCGCTCAGGCCGCGCCCAGCGGGTTTAGCGACATCTCCGAACACCGTGAGCGGCTGCGCCGAGAGAGGAGGGCGAGGGAGGAGGGAGGCCGTGGGAAGCTCCTCTCGCGTGCTGCCACGCACGGCACAGCACAGCGCGGCGCATCCCCCCCCCCGGCCTCCTGCCCCACACCCCTCCGTGGAGTCCGCAGGGGCGAGTCCGCAGGCAAGCCGCTCCTTTGCCTCCCTGGCTCCGGGCAGGCCTCGCAGAAGCCCGGCGGGCGAGGAGACCTCCAACCAGAAAGGGCCCAGCCGTGCAGGGGCGCCAGGGTCCTCTGGGGCTCGCGTGCCCCACGGCTCAGGGGCTCCAGGGCCGACGAGCAGCGCCTCTCCCTTGCAAAGCGTCCGCCAGAGGGCAGTGGGCGGTGTCCCAGGCGCGGGAACGCGGCTCCGGTCCACAAGGCCCCACAGGCCCCACGGCGCTCCTGCCTCCGCACTGTCCGCGCTCGGATCCTGGCCGACGTCCCTCACGGGCCACTGAGGACCGCGCAACAGCGGCCCCAAACCTCCTCCAGTCCGGCCGGGCCGCTCCGCTCCGCTCCGCACGAGGGCAAGCCGCCGAGGGCAGGCAGGCAGGCAGGGCGCGGCGGGGCCCCTGCCAGCCAGCGCTGAGGGACGTCCGGCGGCAGGGCCCACGGAGGCGGGTCTGTGCCCGCTGGACGCCGGGGCGCTGCATCCCGCCGGTCCTCAGCACAGCGTGTCGGTGTTGAAGGCGAGCTGCGCCTGGGGGAGAGGAGCGCGGAAGGCGGCGGTCACCCGGGCCCGATCGGGGCGGGCGCCCGGTCCTCCTGGCCAGCGGTCCTCAGCTTGTGCGCAGCCACCGGCGCCGGGAACATGCGCGGGGAAGAGTCGCCGGGCACAGGGCCGGAGGAGGCGAGTCCGAGCCCGCCGACCCTGCGGAGGCTGCCGGACCCCACACCGGACCCCCGCCCTCTACCGCCCTGCCCGCCCTCCCGCAGCCCCTCTGGCCCGGGAAGAGGCGCCCCGCCGTGGGCTCACCCGCTCCTCCTCGAAGCTGATCAGCCCCTCGTCGTCGGTCTCCAGCTCCTCGGGCTCGTCCGCCACCAGCGCCCGCAGCTCCGTGGGGGCCGGCCGGGGCCGCAGCAGGCTGAGCAGGCGCTGCAGGGGGGACTCGGCCGCGCAGGCCGGGCCGGCCTCCTGCTGCTCCAGGTTGTCGCTCTGCTTCTTCGCGAAGTTCACGAACACCTGGGGGGCGGGGGGCGAGGCAGCCGGGGGTCGGTTTCTGCCTCGCGGGGGGCAGGCGGCAGCCGTGCCCGGCCCGGAGCCTCCGGACGGTCCCCTCCTTCCGTCCCTGCAGCCAGGACTGGCGTGAGGCTCCCAGGCCACCCCACCCGGACCCCTCCCTCAACCGGGGTGGCCGGGGGCACGTCCCTGAGCCCGAGCGGCGGGACCTTCCGGAGGGGGCTGGCCGGCACTCAGGGAGGCCTCCCCAGAGCCCGGGTGGCCGTGGGGAGGAAGCGAGATGCCGGAGCGGAGGGGCCCTCCGCCGTGGGCCGGCAGGACGCTCCTGGCCCCCCGGCCCCCGAGCTGGGCTCCCGCCGCGGGGGCCACCGCGCTCGCACACACTCACGTTGTCCAGGGTGGTCTGGCTGACGGAGTAGTCCTCGATGCCCAGCACAGCCACCACCTGCTCCATCTTGCTGAAGACCTGGGCCAGCGAAATCTGCTCCGACCGCAGCTGGTACTGCACCTTCGTGTGATGCCTCTCCTGGCGTGCAGGGGGGTGGGGGTCACTGCCAGCACGGCCCCCCCGCTCGCCCCCCCGCAGCTGCTCAGTCTGCGCCCCCCACGCGCCAAGACTCTCGCAGCAGCACACGCCAAAAGGATGGCTTGAAGAGCGGCCACAGAAACGCCGCATTGCAAAAAGCGGAAAACACCGAGCAAAAAGCAGAAAACACCGAGCGGCTGTGAAAACGCCCGAGGGGCAGCCTGGACGTTCTGCCGGGTGCCAGAAAGGCGTGTGGGGGCCTTTGGACTGATGGATGGACTGATTTCTACGCCCCCCAACAGCCCAGACATTTAATCTGGTTCACGCTCCTTGTGAAGACAAAAGCGCAAACTGTTTTTAATTATCTCCTGGGGGAAAGTGCAAGAGGGCAGCGAAAACCGAAAGGGACCCCTTCGTTCCCCCGGCCAGCGGGGCCAGAGCGATCCTCCCGGCTGACTCGGCCATGTGTGTGTGGGGGGGTGGCCCTGCGGCCTGGCCTCACCTTGAGGACCGCCTCAGGGAAGTTCCGGTTGAAGAACCGCACCACCTCCTTGACACTCAGGCTGGACTTGGTCCGCACCGTGATCATGTAGCCGTCCCCGAACCTGGCCAGGAGGAAACGGGCCGGTCAGCGAGCCGGCCGCCCCGCGTGCCCCACCCCCCCGCACCTGCCCCTGCCCTCCCCCACCTACCTGTTCTTCAGGTGTTGGATGCTGCCCAGGCACTTCAGCCGCCCGTTCACCATGATGGCCAGCCGCGTGCAGAGCGCCTCGCACTCTTCCATGCTGCGGGAGGCAAAGAGGTGGGCGGGCCCAGGAGGGGGCGGCTTCGTAAAGCGCCATCACCACCATCGTCACGATCAACCGTCGCCTGTGCGGGCCCAGGCCAAGCTGGCGCACGCGAGTCTCCTTCTCGCCATTTCTCCCCAACAGCCCTGCGAGGTGGGCTGGGGAGTCCGTGGCAGGCTCAGAGCCCCCAGCGAGCATCCCGGCCTCTCCCACCCCCCGAGTGCTCTGCTCGCCCCATCAGGCACCTTCGCCCCCCGCCCCCCCCACGGCCTGCCCCGTCCCCGGCTCCCCGCGGCTCGGACAGGCAACAGGGCCTCCCACGGCCTTGCCAACCTGTGCGACGTCAGGACGACCGAGCGGCCCGTCTTGATGATGTCCAGGATGAGGTTCCACAGGAAGCGCCGGGCCTTGGGGTCCATTCCCGTGGTCGGCTCGTCCTGCAGGCAAAAGCAGGCCGTCAGAGGATGGGGCAGCCCCGGCTCCCCGTGCGCCCAGGCCTCGGCCCTGAGCCCCGCGCCCGGCCCGCCGGCCGCTCACCAGGAAGATGAAGGAGGGGTAGCCGATGAGGGCGATGGCTGTGGAGAGCTTCCGCTTGTTGCCCCCGCTGTAGGTCCCGGCCGGCTTGTCCGCGTGCTTGGTCAGCTCCAGCTTCTGCAGGGCCCACTTGACCACCTGGCGAGCCAGCGGGAGGGGAGGCCACGGTCGCAGCCTGGGCCGAGCGGCGCATCCCGCCCCCCGCCCTCTTTCTGCCCCATCGTGGACTGTGCTCACTGCCCCCCACAGCCACGGAGGGATGCCCACCAGCCGGAGGGCTCAAACGGGGCCGGGACGCATCCCCAGGAGAGGGGACGGCCGCCCAGGGCGACTCCTCCGTGACCAGAGGCGCCCCCAATTGCCGGGGGGCTTGGAGGGGGCCGCTGCCCTTAGCTTGCTGGCTGCGGGCTTCCTCAGGGCAGGGGAGGGGGGCCGTGGAACCCGCAGGGCCCTCGTCACGCCCGGGCAGCATGTGGAGGCCCCCGCGGGGGCACGGAGAGGCTGCCGGCACCCCCGCCACAGCCAGAGCCCTGCACTGAGCGTGGGGGGCCCCGGGGGGCTCCGGGGGACCCTGGGCGCATGGCACACGGCACAAGGCCCCGGCCCGGCCCTCACCCGCTCCTCGTCCTTCCAGGGAATGCCGCGCAGGCGCGTGTAGAGCTCCAGGTGCTCCTGCGCTGTCAGCTCGTCGAAGAGCGCGTCGAACTGCGGGCAGTAGCCCAGGCTCTGCTGCACCTGCAGCGCCTCCTTCAGGATGCTGTGGACACGGAGGGAGCCGTGAGAGCCTCCTGGGCCGGAGGCACAGCGGGAACCACTCCCCAAAGCTCTCCCTGGGGCGGACGGGGCCCGGGGGCATGGGGGCCCCGCAGCCTCACTCGGCTGACGCGGGATGGCGCTGCAGCCCCGAGCAGAGGCAGAATGCCGGGGGGCCCCGAGCGATGGAGGGGGGTGCGGGGGCCCCAGGAGAATCCCGGAGTGCCCTGAAGCACGGCGTGGGAGCCTGCCGCCCCCCCCGGCACCCCCCCGGCCCCGGGGTACCTGTGCCCGTTGACGAAGGCCTCGCCGCCAGTCGCGCTCTCGTCTCCCGTCAGCATCTTGAAGGTGGTGGTCTTCCCGGCCCCGTTGACGCCCAGGAGCCCGAAGCACTCCCCCGGCCGGACCCCCACGCAGAGGCGGTCCACGGCCAGGATGCGCCCGATCCTGCGCGATTTGTAGACCTGTGGGCCGGGGGGGCGGGCAGACTCAGTGGCCAAAGCGTCTTCCCTCGGGGGAGCCGCGAGAGGGGAAGGGGCTGCTCGCGCCCCGCATGGGCCCCCAGGGGCAACCTGCAGCCGAGACGCCCCACCTTGGTCAGGTTCTCGATCTTCAGCATGTCATTGTCCGCATCGCCCCGCAGCACCCGATGCCGCTCGTTGGCCACGTCCACGTCATCCTCCACGGGCTTCGTGGACACGGGAAGACGCCTGGATGGGGGGGCGGGGGGCAGAGCGGGGCTGTTAAGCGACCCTGAAAGGACCTGGACAGCCTCGTCAGCTCCAAGCGCTGGGGCCGGAGGTGCCACGGGGCAGCCCATGCCCCCCGCCCCCCGCCCCCCGCCCCCCACCCACGCATGCCACGCACTGCGGCTTCCGCAGGAAGTTGTACTGGCACATGATCGTGATGAAGAAGCCCACGAAGCCCTCGACGGCCATGGCCACCAGGCCCCGCGTCACGATGTCCCACTCGAACGGCGACTTCATCTTGTCGAACTGCCCTAAAGGAAAGAGCGGAAGGGGAGAGAGCGCCTCTGGTGGTCCCTGGGGCGACCGGAGAAGCCGGGCCTCTGCCCGGGGGCCCCGTGGCCCAGGGGACCTCCCACTGTGTGGGGCTTCGGCCGTAAGAGCCCTCCCTTAGCGGACACGAGGAAATGGGGGCCGGGCCGTAGCCCAGGGAAAGGCCCACTTCTGCTGGCCGCCATCGCCGAGCGGTGGCGGGACGGCCCTCTGCTCTGGTCCCCGGGGCAGCTCTCCGGCCCGGCCCTGGCAAGAGCCGCGGGCGCCGGGAGGCGGCCACGCACCGATCTTGGCGTAGTACTCGTTGAGGTACTCGTTATAGGCCATCTCCATCAGCCCGTGGCCCAGGTTGTAGTTGGGGAAGAGCAGGAAGCAGCTCTTGAGGTAGCTGTTCACCATCTTCAGGTCCTGCAAAGCGAGGAGAATGACGAGGACGCCCCAGAGCGGGCCCGGGCCCCCCTTGCAGGGCCGGCCCCCCGGCAGCGGGGCATGTCGTCCACGTGTGCGCAAAGGGGGGGAGACGCCGAGAAGCCGGCGAGGCCGAGCACGGAGCCGGAGCGGCCCCGGGCCCACGCGGGCCCCGTGCCAGGATGCCGCCCCCCCCCCCCCCCGGCCAGCCCCGGGCGCTCGCCTTGTCGTGCTCGAAGAGCTGCAGCAGGAAGGTCGCCACGGTGGCCGTGATGCCGATGAAGAGGTTGATGACGATCAGGAAGACGTACGCCGAGCTGGGCACCTCGAACCAGAAGGAGGCCGGGTACATGATGGGCGTGATGGACCACCTGGACACCCGGACCGTGCGGAGAGGGCGGGCTCAGGCGGCGCCCTCAGGTGAGCGCCCCCCTCGCCCGCCCGCCCGCTCTCCCCAGGCCCCCCGGAGAGCCCACGCTCCCGAGAGGCCCACGCACCCGTAGAGCAGGAAGAGGGCCAGCACCGCCGGGAAGTTGGTCGGGGAGGTGTACGCGGGCAGGTCGAAGACGAAGAGGATGATGATGCAGCAGGTGGCCGGCACCAGGTAGTTCAGCTGGAGGGGGAGGCAGGGCCGTGAGGGGAGCCTCGCCGGGCTGCACCGCGCCCCCCATCCAACCGCGCCCCCAAGCAGCCCCCCAGGCCGGACGCCCCCGAGTACCATGTCCCAGACGTAGTTGGCCAGCCAGTAGATCACGGGGTCGCAGCCGCTCACGAACTGCAGGTGCTTGGCCTTGGTGGACTTCTCGGCCACCAGGAAGACAACGAAGCTGGCCGGCACGAAGGACATGGCCACGATGATGAAGATGGCGATGACGACGTCCGTGCCCTGCAGGCTGCGGGAGAGGAGAGGAGAGGGGAGGAGCGGAGAGGGTCACCCCGAGAGGCCGGAGCACTGTGACAGGTCGGGGTGCAGCTCCATGCCCTCCGAGAGGGATCCCAATCTGGGATTCAGGAGTGGGGCTTTGCCAGGCCGTGCAGCCCTTCCTGGAGCCCCCCCTCCATCCACACCCCCAACAAGCCGGAACTCTGCCCCCGGCAAAGCAGCACGCGGGTCTCTTCGAATGCGTGTCGGCACCGGCTGCGGGCCGAGGCCCGTCCGAGCCCTCGTGCGCCTGGGATGCGACGGCCGAGCGGGCCTCGTCCGCCCGGAGAGAGCACTGGCTCGGATCGGGTCCCAAGCCCGGGCGCCCACAGGGGAGGCGAGGCGGGGCACCTACAGGTAGTCCAGGGACAGGCTGGCGCTGGTCTTGTTCATGGGGTGATTGGTCAGGGTGATACCTGGGGAGAGAAGGACGGCCGGCATCAGCCGCGGGCGGCACCGCTGCCCCATCCCGCTGGGCGAGCGTGCGGGGGTGAGGGTGCCCCCCAAAGCGGGGCGGGGGGCCGTCCGCGAGAGGCGGCCCGAGCCCAACCCGAAAGAGGCTTTCGGCATCTCGGCCGAGGTGCGCCCCGTGGGAGAGGACCGGGCCCCGGAGCACAGGGGGCCGCTCGCCTGCCGTTCCGGCCGCTGCAGGGGGGCAGCACCCCCGCCGTGGGCCCAGGGCCGGGCTCACCGTAGGCAGCGGGGTTCCCCCGGCTCTTGGGCAGGTTGGCCCGCAGGATGGCGTTGTTGAGCGTGTTGAGGTACGTGGGCATGCTGTGGTAGCCCTTGTTGTTGTAGTAAACCTGCGGGGAGAGCGAGAGCCGGCGCTCAGGCAAAGCTGCCCCCCTCCGGCAGCAGCGCCCTGCGCCAGGCATTCTCCACACAACAGCCCTGCGAGGTAGGGCGGGCATGAAGGGCGCCACCGGCCCATGGGCCCCAGTGAAGGTCCAGGCTGAGCTGGGATCGGGACCCGGCCCTTCCTGGCACGGCAGCCAGCGCCCGACCTGTGGTACGGGGGACCAGCGGCCCAAGCCGGCCCTCCCGGACCCTTCCAAGGGGCCACATCCCCCTGCCTCTGACCACGGGAGGCCCTGAGGCTGAGGCAAGTGCCCAGTAATGCACCGCCATTTGGGCCCCACTCCCTTGCCTTTGCCCCCCCCCACTAGCACATGGACCCGGGAGCGGGGCCCCTGCACCCCCGCTCTGTGCCCCACTGCGCCCCCGGCCCGCCCGCCCACGCCTACCGGGCACGGGGTGAGGTCCCACCTGGGCAGTCCTGCGGACGGCAATCTTCCGCACCATGGGGGGCGCGTTGGCCCCAAAGGAGGCTGGGATGGATTTCTGGATGTTGCCAAAGGTGACCGCTCCGTACCTGGGGTGGGAGAGCACGGGGGTATGGGCGATCCCTGGGAGCCTCGCCTGCGAAAGGGCTCAGCAGGGACGGGTCCCCCCGGGGGCCCCCGGAGCGCGCGAGCATGGGCAGAGGGCCGCCCGGCGGGCGCCACACGCACCTGTGCAGCCGGAAGCGGTCCGAGGTGTAGAGCAGGTACTCGGAGACGTTGCGGCCCGTCACCTCCACCAGGATGTCTCCCGTCACCACCCTCCTCTGGCGCGGGTGGCCGCCGACCCCGCTGGGGCAGGAGAAGCCGGTGCCTTGCACGGAGCAGGTGCACCGCAGGGGCTCGTGGACGACGCTGGGCAGCGCCGGGGCCGAGGTGGCCGCCTCTGCGGGAGCGAGCACAGCGGGGCAGCCTGAGGACCGCCGGAGCCGGAGCCGGCGCGGCGGGGCCACTTTCGCCCCCTGCCCCAGAGGGCCTTCCAGGGCCATCGCCACGCCGGGGGGAAGCGCACTGACGTGGTGCGGGGGCCGGCCTGAGCACCGCCTGGTCCCCAGTGCGGGTCCGGGTGGCCTCGTCCGCGGAGCAGCGTCGGCCGGAGGAGGGAGCCCTACCTCGGACGGTGGCCGGGGAGCTGGTGGAGTTCCAGGCCCGCAGCAGGTCCTCGTCCAGGGAGAAGGGGTAGTCGGAGGGCGCGGGCGAGGGCGGCGGGGGCACGAAGTTGGAGAGCGGCAGGCCCTGGGTGAAGGAGTCCACGCACATGGCGTCGAAGTACTTGGCCGCCAGCATCTTGGCCTCGCTGCTGCCCAGGTTCAGCGCCTGCACCAGCTGGTCCAGCGTGCTGTTGAAGGCCGTCTTCAGCACGCAGGTGGCGCCCACCCCGGAGGGCAGGTAGAAGGTCCCGACCAGCTGCTGCGGGCCGGCGTCCGGCGACCACTTCAGCCTGTGCGTCGCAGGAGGGGCTCCGTCAGGGGTGGCCCGGCAGAGCGCCTCTCCCCCCGCCCGCCGGCTCAGGCGGATGGAGGCCCCTTCCCGCCCGGCGGAAGGAACGGGCGGGCCGAGCGAGGGGCCGGCCGGGCCGGGCGCTCACCGGTACTCGCGCCTCTCCTCGTTGGCGTAGGGGATGAAGTTGCCCTTGGGCTGCGTGTAGTTGTGGTACTGGGACGGCGAGAGGATGAGGGGAGGCAGGTCTCCTGGGGAGGAAGCAGGGAGCGCCACGTCTGGTCGGGCCAGACCCAGAGGAAGGGTCCCAAGGGCCCCCTCGCGGGCCAAGGACCCCCTCGCCCTTCCGGGGTGACAGGGCGGCCGCGCGGCGTTCGTCACAAGCACAAGGGGGGCACCCCATACGTGCACTCGAACAGAGACACACGCCAGCCCCCCGGGCCCCGCACGGGAGATCCTCCGCGGGGAGGCGCCAACCCACCGATCTCGGGCACGGAGAGGGCCACCGTCATGGCCACGCAGACGAAGAAGGCCGGCAGCAGGATCTGGGAGAAGAGGGCCTTGGTGTTGCGCCGGGCGCAGTGGGAGCGCTTGACGATCAGGCCGTGGAACTGGCGCAGCTTCAGCCACGAGCCCTCCAGCTGGAAGCTGCCCCGGCCCGCCAGGCCCGGCTCCGCGGCCTCGGCCTCTGCGCCTGCCGTGGGAAGAGCAGAGCGGGCGGCGGGGCCGTGGGCGGCGGCAGAGGCCCCACGGCTCCTGCCGCCCCCCGCCCCGAAGGGGCCTGCGCCTCCCGCCAGTCTGGCCTGGCAGCCAAGGGACGGGGGAGCTGCGTGCCCCAGCGTCTGGAGGGCCACGCGCCCGCACTGGGGGCTCAGGGCACAGCCACAGGTGGGGGCGGGGGCAGAAAAAAGACCACCCCCCTTGCAGCGGGGAGCGTCCAGTCTCGTTCTGCTCCTCATCTGCGGCAGGAGAGCAGCAGCCCACGAGAGCCAGCGCCGCCCACCTGGGACCCCCAAAGCACCCGTGTCACTTCTGCGCCCTCATTTTATTCACTTATGGAAACTGGTTTTTTTTTTTTTTTTTTTGGCCACCGGGCAAGTGCCTGAATTAAAAACCAGCAAGCAGGAGGTCCCGCGAGACGACCCTTGCCCCTCGCTACCCAGCCCTGCTGCACCCAGAGCGAGGGGCTCGGTCCCCCACCCGGCCCAAGGGGACCCCACGCGCTCCCCCGTGGGTACAGACCTTGCAGGCTGGCGTTATCGGGGTCCTGCGGGTTATCGAACAGCGGAGAGTAATCCCCGTAGATCTCTGCGTACGGCCCGCCCTCATCGCCGCGCACGGAGCCGGCCGAGGAAGAGGACTGGAGAGAGGCCTGCGAATGGGCCAGCGCGGAGCCGGCCAGCAGGTTGCCCCGCTCTGCCTCGGGCTTCCCGGGCGCCTCCGGGCCCAGCGGGGCTTCTCCGTTGGCCTCGGGCTTGGGGCCCCGCGGCAGGTCGGGCAGCGGCAGGGCGTCCCTCTTGGACTCCTTCACGTCTGCAAGGGAGGCACGGCGAGGGCGTGAGAGCGCGCGAGCGAGCCGCGTCGCCTGGCGGAGGCACCTGCGGGAGTCCGGAGCGCCTCGGGGGGCCGGGGGGCTCACCCGCATCGCTGTTCTCAAGGGACTGGTCCTCCTCCGAGACCTTCAGGAAGACCTCCTCCAGCGTGGTGTCCATCAGCCCAAAGCTGGTCAGGTGCAGATCGTCCAGGTTGTGCTCCAGGTGCTGCAAAGCAGGTGGGCAGAGCCCCTTCGCTGAGCGCCTCCGCCGTGCCCAGCCCGCCTGGGCACAGACCCTCCCGGGGCAGGGGCAGGGGCAGGGCTGGGCGCCTCCCGCGGGCCACAAGCTCGTGGCGTTCCCAGCGGTAGCGCACCGTAGCGGGAGGGCTGCAGGAACGGTTTTCGCGGGGCCCTTGGCACATTCGGGGCCCCCCCAAGTCAGAGATGGGCCATGGGGTGGCCGTCCTGGCCCCACTTTTACTAGGAAAGGTTTGGGGATCTTATTAAGCGGTTGCTCAGCATCACGAATAAACACAGGAACAAACAGATCCTTGAGCAAGCCTGAACGGCCCCCGGGGTCCTCGCCCGGCCCCCTGGGAGGCGGCAGGCGGGGCAGGTCCCAAGCTAGATCACACACCCAGGCGGCCGCTAAGCGCCCCCCCCCCCGCGGCGCACCCACCTGGAAGAGCCTCTCGAAGCAGCCCTTCTTGACGGCCTCGCTGGGGAGGATGTAGGACAGCTCCGTGTTGGTGTTGGAGACGAGCAGGCAGGACGCCACGTACTTCTTGATGAACTGCGTAACCCGCACCTCGGAGCAGGGGCTGATCGCCGAGGGGCAGGAGGGGCTCTGCGTCTCTCCCGAGTCTAAACGGGGGGCAGGGGGGGCAGAACTCAGCCGAGGCACAGGCTGGCTGCTGCAAAGGCAAGGCGGGCAGCGGCTCCGGGGGGCCAGAGCTGCGAGTGCCGGGGCCAGAGGGGCGAGGGCCGGGCAAGGAAGCCCTCACGGCACTGGAAAGGACGCTGGGGAGAGCGGCCGAAGCACCCGTGGGGCTCAGAGGGGCTTCCTTGTGAGGAAAGGGGGAGAATGTGCTTGCAGCTTTGCGTCTGAGGGGGAGAGAGCTGGGGGGGGGGGGGCAGGGGTTCGTAGGAGCATGCATGGCCCGTGCACGGATCATGAGCCGCTGGATCCGACCGAAGGATTCATCCATGGAATGCATCTTCCATAGAATCATGGAGTTTGCGGAGCTGGAAGGGCCTGGGGGTACTGGGTCCCACTCCCTGCCCCGGGCAGGACTCCAAGTCGTTGTGCGTTTGGAGCTTGTGCAGCAGCCCACTGACTTGAATCGGGCACCCTCAGCCTAGGAAGCGGGGTCTCTCAGTGGCCACCAGCCACGCTGGAGCCCCCCTGTGCAGAGGCAGTCTATCTGGTGCCCGAAGCGGGACCGACCGACCGAAAGCGCGCCCCGCGCTGGGGAGCAGACACAGTCGAGGTGCACGGGGCGGGGGGAGCAGCAGCGGTTCAGTCCCGGGACCCCGCTGCCGCCGCTGCCTCCTGTGGCAGGGGCTGCTGGGAAGGGGGCGGGGCGGCCGCGCTCACCCGGGCTGGCCCGAGCGTCCGACTGCTTCTTGACCACGGTCAGCTTGTACCCGTCGCCGTAGGTGCTCTTGAGGAAGAGCGGGGAGCCGCAGCACTTCAGCTTGCCGTGCGAGATGATGGCTATCCGGTCCCCCAGGAGGTCGGCCTCGTCCATGTGGTGCGTGGAGAGCAGGATGGTCCTTCCTGGGGGGGGGGGCAGCGTGAAGCCCGGCCGGGCGGGCAGGGCCAGAAGCCCCCGCCCAGCGAAGCACCCGTGGGGGGCGTCCCCCACGCCGTGCGGTCCCTCCCGATGCAAAGCAGCGCGGGCGTCTTCCCGGGGGGTCACTTGCTGCAGTATTCTACGGGGTGGGGAGGCAGGCCCCCCACTCAAACATGGAGGCTGCTCAGGCGTCGTGACTTCACTCCATCCCGACAGAATTATGAGCCTCCCCGTTAGCAGCCGGCTCATTCTGCTGGGGTCGCCCCCACCCACTGCTTCTCTCCCCAAAATTCCTCTGGCACAGGCCGTGGGGGGAAGGCGGCAAATCCGCCAGCTGGGGGGTGGGAAGGCCATGGAGGGGCCACGTGCCCCCCAGCCCAAAGCGCTCGCTGGCCCTCGGCCCCAGGCGCCCCGGACCTGGGGGTGGGGGCCACCCCCCCCCGCTCACCTGGCTTATACTTGAGGATCAGGTCCCAGATCGCCCTCCGGGCATAGGGGTCCACGCCGGCAGTGGGCTCGTCCAGGATGACGGCCCGCGACCCCCCCACGAAGGCGATGGCCACCGACAGCTTCCTCTTCATGCCCCCCGAGAGGGTCTGCACCAGTGAGTGGCACTTGTGGGTCAGCTCCAGGTCCTCGATCATCCTGGGGGGGGGGCAGAACGGGCAGGTGGGGGGAGCTAGTGCATCCGAGCTGCCGGATTCAGCCCGCCCCTTCGTCCCGGGCTCTGTCCCTTGACCCCTGCACTCCGACATCCCCCTGCTCGCCCTCCCGGTTACTGGCCCCAACACCCCCAAACAGGAGCAGGCGGAGTCCATCCCTGCCTGCAGACCAGCGCAACCTGGCGCGTTCGTCCAAGCGACTGGACGCACGTGTTGATAAACGCCCGCACATTTCCGGGCGTGGGATCCAGTTCGAGAAGCGGCCCCTTCCCACCAAACTCGTGCGCCAGTGAATCGGGGAAAGGAGCATTCAAAAGGGGAAAGCAGCGGAGACGCCGCAAGGCTTCCTTGCACACGCACTGCGGGGAAGCCCCCCTCGCGGGGCGACTGGGTGCAGCTCAGTGCCGGCGCCAGGACCCCTCCCGTCCCGTCCTCGTTCCCCAGGCGACGTGGGGGCCCCGGGAGGAGCCGGGCCAGAGGCACCCTGTCCCCCAAATCCAGGACACGTGCCCATTACGGCCCACCCCCACGGGAAGAGGGGGGCACGGGCGGCCCGGGGGGGCCTACTTGTCCATCTCCTTGCGGATCTCGTCCTCCGCCATGCCCTTGAGCTGCGAGTAAAGCCACAGGTGCTCCTCCACAGTCAGCTTGTCGAACAGGACGTTGTGCTGCGGGCACATGCCCAGGTTCTTCCGGATCTCGTCCATCTCCGTCCGGATGTCGTGGCCGTAAATCGTGGCAGAGCCGGAGGTGGGCGGGAAGAGGCCGGTCAGGATGGACCTGGAAGTGAAGGGAAGGGAGCGTGAGGGGCGGCGCTCAGACACGCCCGCACCCTCCAGCGGTGTGCGTGGGGCTTACCCAGGGCCCTGCCTGCAGCTTTTCCACCAAGAAAAAGTTGGGAGAAAGTTTGCTTATGGGGGGACGCCGCGGTGGGGAGCAGGGAACTCCGTTCACAGCTCTGAAATGTAATCTACCATCCGTTTCAGGCGGAACGTCGGGCTACTTTGCCAACTGGATGGCTTTGCTCAGCGACCAGCCGTGAGAAGGGCGTCCCCAAAGGTACGCAGGCACGACCAGGAGCACAGAGGGAAGTGCCGGTCTGGGAATGCCCACGGCGCTCCGAGCACCCAAGGACGGCCAGCGCACGGAAGAGCCGGCCTGAAGCCGGCGTAAAGGGAACGGCGTCTTCCCAGCGCGGAGGAAGGCTGGGAAAGCGTCCAGCGCGCAGTCCGCGGAGGCAGCCTTTCCTCCCGTGGGTCTGGAGCCATCCGGACGCGCTCGGAAAGGGCTGAGAGCCCCCCTGCGCAGCTGAGCTTCTGCCTCGCCCCCCAGCCCGGCCCCCCAGGGCCGCGGGGCCCAAGCGCTCACATGGTGGTGGTCTTGCCCGCCCCATTGTGGCCGAGGAAGGACACGACCTGGTTCTCGTAGAGGTTGAGGCTTAGCTTGTTCAGCGCGAGCTTCTTGTCCGTCTTGTAGATCTTGGTCAGCTTGTCCACGCAGACCACCAGCGGCAGGTGGGTTGGCTCCTCCTCGATGCCGCGGGTCTCCTCTGCGCGCAAGCGGAACCGAGGCGGGGGGCACGGTCGGTGCACGGTGCCGCCGCAGCACGGCCCCTCCCTCCGCGCTCCCTCCGGGGGGCCGGCCCCCGTGCCCTGCCGGCGCCCAAGGGGGAGAGGCCGCCGGCGCTCGCTCGCTCGCTCGCTCGTGCGGGGCCGGGCCGGGACTCACCGAGCCGCCTGCTCTCCATGGCGCAAGCCTGGTCCTCCTCCATCACGCTGAGGCGGGTGCCCCGCGACCAGGGCCACGTCCACTCCCACGCCTCGGTGCGCCCGTTCCCCAGCCAGTAGGACTTCTGCAGCGGGAAGTACCAGGGCCGGGGCAGGCCGTACATGCCTGGGGAGGGACGGGCGTCAGTGCGGCCGTGGGGCCACGCCGGGGGTCGGGCCAAAGCCCTCGCCCGGGACGGAGCAGGGCAGCCCGGGTCCCCGCACGCCTTTTGCCGAGGGGGGGCTTCTTCAGGGACCGGCGGGCTGCCCCTTGTGCCATGGAGGTGCCGCGCCCCCCCCGCCTACCTGGGTGCACGGCCTCGATGTACCACGTCAGCACCCCGTAAACCACGGCGTCCACAATGAGCATCACCATGGAGAGCAGCAGGTTGAAGTCGTCCCCCTCCACGGGCGACTGGCTGAAGGTGTGCCACTGGATGCCCACGCCGGCCACCTCGTAGAGGGCGAAGTACTTGGCGCCCAGGCCGAAGGCCGTGGTGGACATGAGCGACTGCGGAGAGCGGGGGGAAGGGGCCGCAGGTGTCACTCGGGCCGGAAGAGCGCTGCTCGCTCGCTCGCCGCTACTTCCACGCCCCCCACAAACCCCCCACGCGGCTCACGCGGAGGGGGACAGACTTCAGCACTGAGGCGCAATGGCACCGGACGCGTTCGAGGCCCGGGGATGCGGGAGAACGAGTGAGCGGCCGGCTCGGAGCCTCCCTGGGGCCTGAGGCAGGAGCGGGGCAAGGGCCCCCCAGGCACAGAAGGCGTGGGGCGCTGGGGAGGGGGCACTCACGGCGATGCACTTCTCGAAGGCCGTGATCTTGTCATGGGCCACCTCCTCCCGGATGGCCACGTACATGTAGGGCACGTAACTGAGGAAGTAGATGATGCCGCCGCAGGCCGAGGCCAGCTTGGCCTTCGAGTAGAGCACGGACACCAGGAAGCTGGGGGGGGCACAGGGTGTCACTCCGGCCCCGCTCTCCACTCCCCACGGCCCCCTCCGCGGCAGCCCCCGGCCCTGGGGCGGGTCGCCCGGCCTCCGGCACGACGCGAGAGGACCGGGCCGGAGGGGGCCCCACGGCTCGGCGGGCCGGCTCCTGCGCCCCACGGCCCCGGCGGCCCCACGCACCAGAACATGATGGTGGCCACGGCGTAGACGGCGAGGAAGAGCCAGATGATGCAGACGTCGCTGTGCAGCAGCACCTTCCCGTACTTGAGGCTGGCGGTCAGCGCCGTGACCGAGATGGACAGCTGCACGAAGCCCGTGATGAACCAGGCGACCCAGTGCACGGCGTTGTTCAGGCCCATCATCTTCATCACCTGGGCGGGCGGGACGCGCAGGGCCCTCACCAGCGGTCCCGCGCCCCCTCACCTCTCCGGTGGCCGGGGGGGCAGGCCGCCGGGCGAGGGCGCCTCCTCCCCACAGTGGCCCCCCGGCCCACCCCCCGCGGCCCCGGCAGGCCTACCTCCTTCAGGCGGTGCTCCTTCTCGGCCACGATGTGCTGGATCATCATGGCCACCGAGTAGACCCAGGAGATGACCATGCAGAGCGGCATCATGTGCTCGATGACGAAGAGGAAGCTGGGGGGGGGGGCAAGAGGCCGCCTGGAGGGGGCGCACGGCAGGCTCCGAGTCCCCGGCAGCCCCACCAAGGCCAGAAAAGGCGGCGGGGCCTTTTTCTCATTCCTCAGCCACGAATTCATTGCGTTTAGGAGCTGCCCTTTTCCTCTGGAAAGGAGCTCGCAAGCTCCCCCCCCTTTTACCCGCACGACAGCCCTGCGCGGAAGGCCGAGCCGCGTGCCCATGCCCGAGCTTCACGGCCACGCGGGGGCTCCCCCGCGGCTCTCCGGCCCACACCCCTGCGCCTCGGCCCCCGGCTCCAAAGCGTCCCAGAACAGCCCCCCCCAGGCAGGCACGGTGCTCACTCGTCACGCGTGTAACACGGGTACGGAAACATCTGGACGTAGTTCCCGGGTTCCACCACGTCGTGGCCGACGAAGGTGTTGATGATCGCTCGCTCCATCATGTCTGCGGGGAGGAGGGAGGAGGCAGGTGAGCCCCCCAGCCCGGCCACCTCCCGTCCTCTGGCCTTCGCCCTCGAGCGAGCGACCGGCTGACCGACCGGCGGCTCTGGCGCCCCGCAAGCGTGAGCGGGGAAGGGGCTGGGCTGGGCAGGACGAGCACGGGGGGCGCCTGCTCTGCCCTCCGCTGCCCCACGGCGGCTCCACCGGGGCCGGAGCGGCTGGCCTGATCCTGCAGCTCCGCAATACTGCCGTGCCTGATGGCACCGGGTGGCCGATCCCGCGGGGACAAGCCGGCGGCGGGGGAAAGGGGCCGCCCCTCCTGCGCGGAAGCGTGCGGCTTGGCCCAGCCTGCTCTGCCGGCGGCTGCTCTCTCGCAGCCGCAACCCGACCGCCCCAGGCGCGCGCAGAATTGCGAGCAGAGCGCAAGCAGAATTCCCACCGGAGGCATTTCGGCCGCTGAAAAGGCGAGCCGGACAGCAAGGCCCGGCGGACGGAAGACCAAAGCGGGTTCCGCAAGGAGGCGCCCCTGAGCCCGCAGGCGGAGGGGGCGGCCGCCCAGCCCCGGGGCGACGCCAGCGCCCTCCCTGCAGGACGGGCACCTCCAGCCGGGACGGGCGCGGGGCGCTCACCCTGGATCCAGACGAAGCCGTAGAGGAAGTAGAAGCGCCCGCCCGTGTTGGGCCCGGGCCGCCAGTACGCCCGGCGGATCTCGTTGGTCTTCTCCGTGAAGCTGGAGTTCTGCCGGATCTTGTACATGACGTGCGGTGGGAGGCGGCCGTCCTTGTCCGTCTGGAAGATCACGCCTGCGGGAGCAGGAGAGAGCGAGCGAGCGGTGAGGGCGGCGGGAAGGGGCTGCGAGCCGCTCGGCTGCGGCCCGGGCGGCGGCAATGGGGCGGCTGCCCTGGGGCCACAGCGGAGCCCCTACCCCCCACCTCCGGTCTCCCCCCGCAGCCGGGCGAGGAGGGGAGGCGCCGCGGAAGGCCCGTACTGGCAAACACGGTGACGTTGTCCTGGTAGGCCTGGTTCAGCGTGTAGTTGACGATGGTCTCCTCGTCCGGGAAGCCCTTGAAGATGTCCACGCTGACCTGGGGAGGGAAAGGGGGTGTTTGGCCACACGGCTCGAGACGGGCCACCCGGATCCCCACGCTCCGCAGTGGCTGCTCAAGGCAGAGCCGGGCCGCTGCCCAGCTGGGGGCAGTCCTGGGGGGAGCCTGCCACAGAGTCGGCGCTCCGCCTTCCCAGATCCGTGTGCCAGAGCAGGACCAAACTCCGCAGGGGCCCTGGCGGCTTAACGCCAAAACGCTGCTTTCAATTCGCTCAATCCTTAATGCTTCCTTTCCTTCTAAAAACCGTCCCAATATTGTTAAACCGTCCCAAGACTTCAATAATGGGACGGTCGACAAAAGTTTTAAACAGGCAAACAACACAATGCGACATTTCTAATCCTTCTAAAATCTGGAAGTGATGTTTCCACTGGGTTGTTTCCGTTTTCAAATAAAGCAGAACAACAGAAGGCTCTACTTCTGTCCTTTGGCTTTTCAAAAGCACCAGCATGCCAGCGCCCATCATCCCCACCAAAGCGGAAGGAGATTTGCCAGCCTTCTGGACATGCACATGGTGGGCATGTCGTGAGCGGAGCCGGCTGGTGCCGGAGGTCAGACTAGATGGCACGGGAGGGCCCTTCCGACTCGCTCTGTTCCTATGTTTCTCTCACATGGCACCTGCCCCCTGTGTCGGGACCACGGCCGCCCTCCCCACGCGCCCGGGGCAGGGCCCCACCTTGGACATGAACTGGATCCAGCCGCAGGCGGCGTTGTCGATCGTGTCCAGCTGCTGCAGGAGCGCGCTGGTGTTGGGCAGAGAGAAGTCACGGTCCACGAAGCTGCGCAAGAGGTCGCTGCCCGAGACGTTGAGCACCTCCGGGTGCTCCTGCAGGTCGGCCGCAATCTGCACGCAAAACACCACGAGTCACGCACAACGCGCAGAGCTAGAGCGACACTCCACAAAAAGACACCTAGCGCGACCCCAAGGGAAGGAAGCAACCGATCGCAATGACACGGTTCGGCTCAAGTCTGGCGCGCGTGCCGGCCACTGCGGGAAAGCTGGCCACCTCGCGGCAGGCCGGGGTTGCCGCTCCGAAAGAAGCACCGACAGGTTGGTCGGCCTGAGGTTTTTTGGCAGAACAGGTAGAACGAAAAGATGGCGACCGCCTCAGCAAATAAAGCAGACGAGGAGGTGCCCGACGGATTCCACTTCCTTTCCAGCGCAGGCACGCAGATCACGATATGACATTCCAAGCCATCCTCCAAAACCAGAGGCAAGCCTCGCCGTGAGCCCGCGTGGCCCCCAAGGGCCCCGCCGTGGGCCCCTCTCCCGCTGAGCGGCTGGGCTGAGCGCTGCACCTCTGGCACGGCTGCCTCCGTGTAACACGGTTACCTCCGCGGGGGAGGGCCGTTCCCACCCGCCGCCAGCCAGGGGTACCTGCTGCAGCCACTGGATGCGTTGCTGCAGCTTGCCTTCCTCCAGGAAGCTGCGGATCTCGGCCGAGATGTTCAGCCAGACCTGGGCGTAGCGCGTCACGTTCCCGACGAAGGCGAAGGTCTCATTGGCCTGCAGCGCAGGAGGGCAGAGCGGCGTGTGGGCTGACAGCGGGGCAACCGTGTGACCCCGAGCGCCCCGAGCGATGCGACGGGAGCAGCATGCGCTTGTGGCCTCCGGGGCAGAAGCAGGGTGCTCTGGATCGAAGTCCCGGTGTCTAGCTCGCCCCCGGCCAAGGGACTCCAAAGCAAGGCGGGGAGGAGGAGGCTGCCCGGTGCAGCGCCCGCTTTCGGTTTCCAGTGGCGCCTTCCTCACCCCGCAGAGCCAGAGGGCCGCCGAGCTCCCTCCAGGAAAGCATCTCCTGGTGCTCCGGCTCTGCCCCGGAGGCCTCCAGACATGCCGGATGACAATCCTCAGGATGCCTCCGCCAGTGTCACAGCAGGCGCCAGGCCGTGCGAGGCCGGTGCCGGAGAAGCACTAGCCCCCGCCGGCTCTGGAGAGCGGCCCAGACGCAGAAGGCCGCGCAGGCGCCCCCGGCCGCGCGCCCGCACCCTCACCTTCAGGATGACCTTGTCCGCTTCCGTGCCGACCGGGGCGTACAGGATCTTGGGGTTGCTAGTCATCAGGTGGACCAGGAGGCCCAGGTTGCGCTGCTCCTTGCTGGTGAAGCCCAGCGAGCTCATGTTGCCTTGCCGCAGGGCCTCGGGCTCGATGGTCCTGGGGCGGCGGAGGAACGGGGCTCAGCATCCTGTGCCGCGGCCCACTGCCACCTGCCTCGGCCCAGGGCGCAGCCCCAGAGCCTGCCCGGAGCCGCCCGGCAGAAGCATGCCGAGACACGTCATCAGCGTGGCGCCGGCACCGGCTCCGAGAGGCCCCCGCGAGGCTCGCCGAAAGCCTTACCGGTTGTTGCCGCAGAGGATCGGCTGCAGGCCGGCCCACAGCTGGACGAAGGCCGCACACTGCCCTCGGGGGTCCTCGGCGGGCGGCTCGCCCTCGCCTTTGCCCTCCTCCGCGCTGGAATTGGTGCTGGAGCTGAAGTTCCCGGCCGAGCCGGAGCTGTTCGCGGCCGCGGGGGGCCCCTTGGCGGCACAGGCCCCCTGGGGGAGCAGCCGGGCCAGCGCCGAGAGGATGTCCACGTCCTTCAGGACACTCTCCATCTCCGCCAGGTCCTCCAGGAGGGTGTGCAGCTGGCTCCGGGCCGCCGTGCCGTTCACCTCGTCCAGCTTCAGCTGCGAGACGGAGGAAACGGGAGGCCCGGTTGCCGCGCGAGAGGCCGCTGGAATCCTCCGGCCTCCGGTGGCGCGCGGCTCGGCTCGCCTTGCTCTGCAGCCGGATTTCGGTTCATCCACATGCGACGAGCGCAAAGCCCTCAGCCCAGCTATGCTTTCTCACTGCGCCCGGGTGTGACTGTGCAGCACCCGGAGGAATCCAGCAGCTGGGATCGCGGCGGCCGCCAGGAAGGCCAAGCGCCTCCCTGCCCTGTGCATTTCGGCCACAGCAGGCAGAGCTCACCCCGAAACCGGCCGCCAGTCGTGGCGCTCGGTGGCCGAGCCGCGAGCGGCTGCACGGGACGCCTGCCCCCAGCCACGCTGGGCCACGCCACTAATGCCACCAGGACCCGGGAGGAGCTGCCACGAGCCTCCGCTCCGCCCCGGCCCTCCCGAGCTCACCTGGGACACGACCTTGCGGTCGTCCAGCTGCTCCTTCAGTTCCGCGGCCAGCTGCCGGAAGAAGTCCTGGCGCAGGCCGGCGCTCCTGTTGCAGGCGGCCGCCTGGTAGGCCCGCAGGAGGGGCCGCCGGTGCGCCGGGACGACCAGGATGCGCCTCAGCTCCTCCGGGCCCTGCCGGCAGGTCAGGCTCTCCAGCACGGCCGGCGTGAAGAGGATGTTCTGTGCGGGGTGGGGGGGGCAGTGAGACCGTGGGCGGCGTGTGCACGAGCGATGCAGCCCGCCAGCACCGGCCCTGCCAAATGATTTTCGTGGCCCCCGCCTGGCTCAGCAGCCGGTTCCCGGAGGGGCTCTGAGAGGCCCGGCTCCGTCCAGCCATGGCTGCACGTGGTGGGCGTGTTGTGAGCGGAGCCGGCTGGAGCCGGGGGTTGGACCGGATGGCCCAGGAGGCCCCTTCCGACTCGCGCTGCTTCTGTTTCTGTGCCACTCGTGGCCCCCCCCAGCCCGAAGCCCCCTCCCCCGGTCCCTCACCTCCATGTCCTTCACGAAGGCCTGGGGGCCGTAGGCGCCGGAGGGCTCGACCACGGGGCCGGCCAGGCCCAGGGCCTGGGAGAGGAGGTGCAGCAGGGCCTTCTTGGGGGGGCCCCCCTGCGGGTAGCGCAACGCCTGGTGGACCAGCCCATCTTCCACGGTCCGCAGGCTCCCCGGAAGACTCTCCTGGGGCAGCAAAGAGCCGGGGGCGGGGGTTGTGCATCACCTCTGCGGGGGACCTGTCCTCTGGTGCCCCCACCCCGCAGAACCCCAGGGCACCCCGCCCTCCCCACCAGCCGGCCGCCCCTCCCAGCCTGCCCGCAGCCCACCAGCCGGCCGCCGGCCTCCTCTCACCTCCAGGTGAAGCAGCTTCTCGGCCGTGCTGAACCGGTCCCAGGGCTCGTGCAAAGCGTCCGCCGAGGCAGGAGACATGCCGAAGAAGAGCCGGTACACCTGGGGAAGCGACGCACCTGGCGCTCACCGAAGGGCCCGCACACGCCCACGCACGGCCTCCTGGGGACCGCTGGAAATCGCCGCTCGCACCTCTGCCCCGTTCGGGGGACTCGGAATCCCCCCTTCCTCTCTTGGACCCACAACCCTGCTCCCAACGCAACCCGAGCCGCCACTGCGGCCCCCATCCACAGCCCGGAAGGCTGGGTGCTGCCAAGCGAACACACAGGTGGCTTTGGAGTGCTACTTCCTGGCCCCGACTCTGCTTCCAGGCTTGGAGGGGGGTCCGGGGGCACCAGGAGACAGAAAGGCTGAGCCCCGGGAAAGTGTCCTCAGCCCCCAGACAGACTCCTTGGCAGCAGCTGCAGCAGCGCCACATGAACCCACCCCTCCCTCCAGGGTGTTCCCGACAGCATCTGCATTCTCCTCTTACTTGATCACAACAACCCTGCAAGGCAGGCTGGACGGAGGAAACCGTGACCCAGACCAAGGGCCCCTGCTGCGCGGCTCAGGGAGGGGGGCTGGGAGCCCAGTCGGCTGCAGAAGCACGCTCGACGCTAGCCGGCCCCCCACCGGCTTCACAAGGCAGACTCCAGCAGGGCCGACCCGACATTTGGAGGCGACACAGGTGTGGATGTGGGCTTATCGCGGGGACGTGATGCTGAGCAAGCTTGCCCAGGGGAGCCTCCTGGCATCAGGCCAGTCCGGGGGGCTGCATTCTGCCCGCTCTGTGGCCCGGCGGCCACTCCCTTGCCAAGGAACTGGAGGACTGTGCTGAAGGCCACAGAGCATTGCAGGCCGAGCCCTGGCCAAGGACCCCTTCCCACCTCCTCTGCTCCACGGTCCGTGAGCTGGCCGGGGGTCGGGCGGGCTCTGGCCCCCTCCGAGCGGCTAGCCCTGGACTCCCGCCGGGCACTCACCTCCTTGAGGTTAACCTTGGACCCCGTCAGCAGGTCGACGGTCTCGTTGGACAGGGAGAGGTTCTGCCTGAGGAAGCGGTGGAACTCCGACTTGTCCTTGGCGGCTGAGTCCAGCGTGAAGGCAGGGGCTGCCGGTCGAAGCCGGAGGAGAGCCGAAGGGGTGGGGGGTGCCCGGGGGGAGGGAGGAAGAGTTAGAGGCTCCCTCGCAGGGCTGGAGAGGGCGCCCGCGTTCCGCGGAGACATGGGCAGCTTTCCATGGGCAGAGCTGGGCAGGGGAGGGGCGGACGGATGGGAGAGGCAGAGCAGGTTCCTTGGGGGGAGGCCAAGCCCCAGCCCTGCCTTCCGTTTGGCCCCCACACGGCAGAGTGCCGACTGCAGGGTTCGGACCTGTCCCGGCAAATCCGTCCCTCCAGCATCTACGGGCCTCCCCTCTCCCTCAGCCTGGTCCTCAAAGCGAGTCGAGCCGGCGGGTTTCCTCCCTGCTCGATGCCGCTGCAGCCACGGCGGCTGCAGAAGAGGGTGAGTCTGCGCAGTGCGTGGGGCGCCATTCCTGGGGAGCGCCCCACCAACACTGGGGGCACGTGGCCAGGAGCCTGGGCAGCAACCCGGACCACCGTCCAGGGGGCCAAGCCCAGGGAATCCGAGGGATTCCCACCCCGGATGCATTCCTCACGCACCCCTCACCGTCCGCCCGGGCGGTCCCCCGACTTCCTTCCAAGCAGAGGTTTCTGGATGGTGCGGAGCGGCCCAGCCAGGCTGACTCAGGCACCAAACCGAGGTCAGTACCGGCGGGCAGGTGGGTGGCGCGCCCCGGAGCCCCCTCCGGGGCGCCAAAGACGGACGGACGGATGGACAGCCCCCCGGTTGTGAGGAGGCCCCGCCTGGACTCACCCGCCTGGCTGCTGAAGTGCGACTCCATGCCGCTGGGGGGGCTGCTGCTGAGGGACTCCAGCGGGCGCCGCAGGGACTCCAGCTGCTCCTCCAGCCCCGCGTGGTCCGGGTCGAAGAGGTTGCTTTTCTCCACCACCTCGTTGAGCCGCTCCAGCAGCTGCGTCACCCTGCGGGAAGGAGCGCCCGAGCCGAGTGAGTGCCATGGGGTGCTGAGCGCGGGGGGGCCACGTCGGGCCTCCCCGAGGCATGCCGTGGCAAAGCAGCAAGGCAGCCCTTGCGTAGGGAAGCCAGCCTTCAGGGGATGCTCTTGGCGTGAGGAGACCCAGCCCGGCACGGATCTCTGGCTGGGCGAACAGACAGGGAGCGAGAAGGCACGCTTGCGCACGGATGAAGACGGCCTGCGATCGTGAGCGGCCCCCATCCGCACCGGGAGCCGTAGGGGGCTTTTCCAAGGCATCCCAACGAGCCTCACGGAGCTGGACCTGGGATGCGCCAGTCCTAGGCCGAAGCCTCAAGCATCAGGACGCGAGCAAGGAGCTCCGAGCCGCGACGCAAAGCAGGACACCCGCACCCGAGCCGGAATCGCACACCGGTCCCAGTGCGTGGCTGGGAGCCCAGGCAGGGACTCACGTGGAGTTGGAGTACTGCAGAAACCCGAACTCGTCCCGCTGTCCGTCGGGACACAGCGACTGCATCACCGGCAGGATCCCGGCCGAGGTGAGCGGAGCGGCCGTGTAGTACGCTGGAGAAGGGAAGAATGTGAGCAGAAAAGGGGGGGCGGACAGCGGGGGCACAACCAGTCCAAAGAGTCACGCGAATGCCGGATCAGTACCGTTACTGGCTAGTAAGTCCTCTGTTAAGCCGAAGGAAGGGAGGCGGTCGAAGTGGTGAGAAGTCAGGGGTCGCTGTCCCCCCCCGCCCGTGTCCTGGCTTAATGCTCTCGGCCAGCAGCCAAGCCGTGCAAGGGGCATTTCAGCCACTCGGCCTGTGAGCAGGCCGGATGCGGAGCTGGCTGGCGTTTCGTGCCCCTGCGGTGGACCAGACATGGCCCCCTGGGCCCGCTTCAGGAAGGACCCCCTGGGCACATTGGTGTGTGCCCATCGGAGGCAGAGCCAGGGCAGAACACCCCAAATGCGGCACTCCTTAAACCAACTGAGCTCAGGGCCTCCAATTTCAAAAACAGATCTCGATGGAATCTAGTTAGTTCAGAGAAAGGCGTAAGCCGCCTGGGATCGTTCATTTGGGCCCTTCCGGGGAGCCAAGAAACTGATGCAGCACCCAACACTAAACCTGGGATCCCCAAGCTGGGTTCCGTCTCTCTCTTTCAAGCGCACCTCACACCTCCCGGAAGGCCCAAATCCTGCCACGAGGGGGGGGGCAGCGGAGACGCCACCGGGCGCCTGGGGGGCCATCCCATGCCAGGATGCCACATGGCACCGATCCAGTTCTACTCTCGGTATCCAGCCAAGGAAATCATGTTCTAGCTGAGCAGTAATTTGTGATCGTTGTATTTTATCACTGCAATTTGAAACTGGCCTTGGATGTTTGCCACTTTGATCGCTTTAGGGGAAGCGGCAAATAAATCTATGCAGTAATTGCCTAAATGGAATACATCCAATATCTAATATAAGGTGTTGCTCAGCGCTTGAGAGAGAGTGGGGAGCAGGCGCGGAAATCCAAGCAGCGCCCGGATTCGCCTTCCGCCCACTGCTATGGCGCACCAAACGATCGCTGACTTCTCACCCCTGGCAAAGCGTTTTGCTCTGGCCAGCCAGTTAATCTCCAGTTAACGTGGGGGAAAGGGGGATTATTCAGACAGAGAAACGGGGTGAGAGGTTATAGCAGGAAGAGGAATACCCTTTGGCCATTAATCACAGAAATAGTCCTACCCGACTCCCCAAATCGTAGCCAGGTGGGAAAGAAAGTTAGACCAGGGAACAGAAAGGCGGAAAAAATAAGCCACGGATGAAAATGAAAGCACAGCAGCTGAGCTGCCTCATGCGCCCCATTTTAAGGGTCTTTGGATCAAATTATTGCAACGGGACACAGGAATGCTCGGAAGGGGCTTCGTCAAGTCTTTATTTATCCTTCTGGGGTACATGAATGAGCTTCCAGCCCTGTGATTTCGGCAGCGGTCCAAAAGGATAAGAAAGGGAGTGAGAAAGGGGAGGTTAAAACGATGCGTCCGAAGGATGAGAGGCCAAGAGAGAGCGCGACTTACAGACTGAATTAAACAGACACCGTAAAGAGAAGCGAGGCGGGTTGGGGGGAAAGGCAGGGGCGAAAACAAAGAAAATAAAAACAAGGGAGGGGTGGAGGAGGAGAAGAAAATAACAGGTGAGATCAAGCAAAAACAACCCAAAACATAAATGTCAGGCAACCGCGATGCGGCAGCGTGAGATGATGCGACGGACGGACGGACGGACGGCCGACCTCAGGCCTTCGGTGCGACGGGCGGGCAAGACGGGCGGCTGCTGCAGCGGCTCGTCACAGCAACGCATCTGAAGACCAGGAGGCGCCGCTTAGCGCCACCAGCGCGCATGTCCACGCGCGGCCTCTGAAAGGACGCCGTGGGGGTGGCCTGCGAACCCTTCCGACCCAGTGGAGCCAACGCTATTTCAGCCCCCCAACCCCTACCTGCCGCCCCCCCACCTGGATGTGCTGGGCTGCAACCTCCGTCTTCCTGGGTTGGGGATGGTGGGAGGTGTAGTCCAACACGTCCGGAGGGCTGGGGGGGGGGCGTGTGGATCCCACCTGCAGCCTGCTCCTTGCTTTGCTCAGCGGGATCAGGCCCGTGGGCAGGTGCCGCCCCCCCTGCAACGCCGTGGCTTTCAGGTGCTTTTGCGGCCTCATGGGGTCGGCCGCTGCTCTGCCGCCCGCAGGCTCCGGAGGGACCCAGACCAGCTGGGGATACGTGGAGAGGCCCCCATGGGCCCCCACGGAAAGCAGGGGGATCCTGAGCGGGCTCCGCCACCCTCGGGGCAAGCTCCGGGGGTCTGGCTGGGGACCGCGCAACCCCTCCCAGAAGGCAGGGAACACAACCGGCCTTGCCGAGCGGAAGCAGGGCGATCGTTCTCCAGCCGCGGGAAAATGAGGCACCCCCGCGTCTCCCCACGGCCCACTGTGCTGAGCTTCAATCCGCCCCCAAAGCGGGGAGCAGCCCTGCCCACTTCCCAGCTCGTCTCCCAGCGCCCACAGCCCCAGCCGGCTGGGCCGCGGCCCCTGCCCCCGCGAGCCCCAGCCCTGCCCACCCACAGCATCCGGGAGACCCCCCCTTCTCCGCGTCACAGCAGGACCCTCCCTGGCCAAAGTTTCGGGGCGCTCCTCCCGTGAGCATCTCCAGCGTTCCCCCCCTGCGTGGCACAGCGGCGCAACGGGCGGCACTGAACCGGTGAAGCTTTTCCCAAGGTGGAAACAGTGGCGAGGGCCTCGACCTGTTGAGCTTCTGCCTGTTTCACGGCTGTGTAGAATACGGCACAGTGGTACTTCCAGAAAGCAGAGAGGGGAAGGCACCAGCCGTGGGAGGGGGCATCCCTCGGGGCGGCCTCTGCCCAGGCCCCTCGCCCAGCCGCGGGGGGCTCCCTAGAGGCTCCCCCACCCCGTGCCGCCCAGGGCTTACCTTCTTTCACGGGGATGGTTGGTTTCTTCTGCCGCAGCCCCAGCAGAATGAAGAACAGGACCAAGGGGATGAAGATTTCGAACGTCAGCACCCACTGGAGGCGAGAAGAGGGGCAGGGTGTCAGTGGGGCCGGACCGGCAGCACAGAGCTCGATCCAGGAGGAACGCTTCTCGGGAGCCACCCGGGAGCTGCCACTGGAGCCAGGGCTGGGCACCTGCCCAGGTGGGTCCCCCACAGAATCCCGCAGCAGACAGGAGCGCCCAGGGAGGCCGTTGGGGCCACGCCGGCCTCGCCACCGGACACGCGCCAACCGGCGGGCGCTTCTCGCCCACGTCCAGCACCCTCCCCTTCCACTGCCTGAGCCCGCCCACACGGGCGGCGTCTGAATGTGCTGGACGGCAAAGCCCATCATCCCCAGGCAAGGCCTGCGACTCGGCCCAGAGCAGCCTGGCATGGGAAGCCCAGGGGCCATTCCTTCGAGGGCGCCCCCCAGCCTCTGCCCCCCCTCGCGGTGCGTCCGTCCCGCCTGCCGCCGCCGCTTCTGCAGCCAGCCCAGTGCGCCGGGACCGCTGGGAACCACTTACGCACCGGCTTCAATGCAGCTGTAATTAACAGGGTCCTTCCCAATTCCCAGCCAGAGGCGTCCAGCTCCACTTTTACACAGCCCAAACCGTCACCAAGGCACCGGGAAAAAATCACACGCCGGCACTGCGGAAGGTCCCGCGGACACGCAGGCCATGGGCAGAGTGGCGCCGAGGGGCAGCATGGCTGGGCACCTGTCAAGGTCCCGGGTTCCCCCGGGGCCAGCAGTTTCCTCCTGGAGACACTGACCCCCCAGCCTCCCCACTGCGCAGCGCAGAGCGAGGGGCGCGTGTAAGGGACTGTGCAAGCTGGTTCGCCATGCTAGAGCCCCCCCCCGCACACACACACACGACCGTCTCTCTGGCCAGCAGCCGCTGCCGGGGAGCAAGGCCGGCCCTTCGTGTGCCAGGCACGCTCCTCCGCCAAGGTGCGCCACTTGGCCAGGGGGAGCCGGCGTGGCGCAGGGGCGGTCTCCCTGCCCCCACCAGTGCCCCAGCGGCGCAGAAAGGGGGCCGTGGCTTTGCTGCGCACCGCGTGCCTGGCTCTTGCAATCTAAATGACACGACTGTGGCGAGGCCTGCTGTTTAACTGGGTCAGCCCCAGGGCCCGGCCGCCCTACGGAGGAGCAGCCCACGACGCGGCAGAGCCAGCGCTGCGTGGCGCAGGCCGAGGCGGCAGCGAAGAGCGGAGCGGAGCGGCTTCTCTTGCGTGTGCCGAGTGCCCCGAGCGCATCTGCCACACATCAAGCGGGGAGCCGGCCTGACTCACACCCGGCTGGGATGACCCAGCACTTTCCCGGAGCTGCCTCAAGCAGCGCACGGAGGAGCGGCCGCTGCCCGTGCGTTGTGCGGGAGCCAGGGCCCGGCGGTCGCACCCTG